GTATACCAATGCACTATCGCACCCATTGAGAGTGCTAACACTGATAGGATATACATTGGTTCAACGAAGAATGAATTTAAAATTAGATGGTGACAACACAAAAGCTCCTTCAATAATATTAGAAATAGAAATCAGACATCTCTATCCAAATATTTTTGGCATTTAAAAGAAATGAATAAAACACCAAAAGTAAAATGGAAAATAATAAATAGAACAAGAACTTGTAAAACCTGGAATGACCCATGCCCTTTATGCCTACATGGAAAACTACAGATTATTAATTTTCTAAATAATGAAAATTTATTAAACCATAGACATGAGTTAACGGTTTTCTGCCGACATCAACAAATTTTCGCATTAATTAGCATAAAAAAATTAAATTTCATAGTCTAATAAAAGGTTTAAAAGCTCGACCAAATCATAAGATAGAAAAACCCTTTATGAAGTCGTAAACCCCCCACAAAAAAAACAAATTGTAGTTCAATGCGACGCGTTTATGTACGAAACAGCCCTTTAAGAAAAAAAAAATAAATAAATAAATAAAATTCTCTAGACACTTAACGACATATTATGGTGCCAAAAGCTACCTTTTGCTGTGACTGACCAGATGATGTGCGTACATGAATGCCATCATTCGCTTTGAAATGGATACCCCGACCCTACCTCGGATTGACCTATTTCCGAAGGTGACTGAAATGTGGATAAAAATTAACTCTTAGGCCCCTTATCAAAATGGTCGCCCCAGACGTTTCCATAGTAATTAATTTTGCGAATGAACATGCTCATAAAGATGCGTAAATTTCAAGATGGGTTATTCTTAAATTTTCGCTTGAGGATGAAACATGGCTTGATACTTTAATTCAATTTTAATAATTACAGTGAGGTTTTCGGCTCTGGTTTTTGAAACATGAGAACTCTTATATAGCGAAGGAATCATATTTTTTAAAAAATAATTATATATATATATATATATATATATCAGGTGTAACGGCAAAATTGTCTAAATCGTGTAACAGCATATCCATTCCGAAAAATCAATTAATATTAAATTAATATCTAAAAAAACAAAAAAAAACAAAAAAACAAAAAACAAAAAACAAAAAACAAAAAACAAAAACAAAAAAAAACAATTGAAAACAATTAGGCTTATCGGCCTATTTAAAGCCAGAAAATACTTATAGATTATAAGGGCATTTTTGCGTAAGTGAATATAACGAACCAATTTCCAGTTCCGAGCCATTATGTATTACACCATACATACATCCGAATTTACCGCACCTGGGATACTCAAGCGTATATATATATATATATATATAATATATATATATTATATACCGGATGTAAGAGTAAATTTGTCCAAATAGTGTTAGAGCATAATTGTCCATTCCACAAAATGTTTAATACCTAAAAAGTCACGAAACTAATTGAATTTTTTTCACGTTTTCAGATAAGACGTTTAGTCATCTTCATACCATCTGTCGTAAGAATCACTCAGAAACTCTTTGAGTTATTCAGCTAGAAAGAGAAGAGTTTAAATGGTTTTGTGTCAGACCCACTGTCTTCCCAACGAAGCAATGGTGAAACGAAAAAGATCATTCAGTCTTTCAGTAATGGTACCAACATTAAAACTCTGGCTTCCATCTTCAAAGTCCATTCAAGAACCATCAAGAGAACGGTAAATAAGTTTAAAGATGAGGGAACAGCAGGGAGGAGGTCACAATAAGAAGAGGGATCATCATTTCAACTTGGAGCTAATAAGATCAATTAGTAAATATCTAGCTCAATTCATAAGAAGTTTGGCACGTCAGAGAGGAGTTTCAGCTATGACAGTTCAAAGAGCAGTGAAAAAAAGAATTGAAAATCAAATCGTACGTGAAAACTCTGAGACACCTTGTTACTATAGGATAGAAAGTTTGAAGTTTGGAGAGGGCGAAGATCATCTTGAATAATTTGGAAAATGATCCTGGAATATATATATATATATATATATATAATTTTAATTCAATCCTTAATGCGCTTCCGAAAAGGGCTGTGATTAATTAATGATGTACATGTCATTTTCGTTTTATGATCGATTTCATCAAGATACTTCTGTGAAGCTTATACATTCTTATTGCTCAAATTAGAATCCAATAGTGTTATAAAAACGTTGGAGAATCCCACTGAGCTATCTTTAATCATATCTAAGATACAACGTTTCAAAGCTTAATCTTACAATATGGACAATTTTGCTATTACATCCGGTATATATGTTGGCTTGGAAAGGGGTAGTCACCCGGGGGGATAGTACTCTCGCGTCTGCCTCCCACGAGAACTGAGCTAACCTGCCACACCACGTGCTACACGCCCCCACTGAGTCAGGAAAGTAGTGGGGTGGGGGGAACAACAGAAACACATTACCAACTAGGAATTACGAGTACTTTTAAAATGTTGGGGTAACAAAACACTCCATGTGACTACACAGGGTTAAGGAAGGTAATATTTTAAAAAATGGTATGTATGTATCTATGTATATCAATATAAGTTATTATATTGTTTAATTACGTGACATTACAGATTTTGTCCGTATTCATTTCATTGCAAGAGACACTCCCAGAACGTGAGAGATTACCTTCCATTTGCTTTGCCAAGACGCTAAGTGGCGCTGTTAAACAGCTATTATAACAGAACACTTCCTCTTTCTTCCTCCTTTCTTTTCAGCTACTTTTGCATGCATCCAACTATATTTCATTACTTGTTAATCATTTATTAGCCATATATAAAACATGAAAATATTGCCTTATGATGATTTTGTTTAGCGGCAATATCAACATCTCTATGGTTTATTTAAGGCCGAAATCTAAATATTTTAAACACAATTTTATAGCTTCAAATATATATATTTCGAACTCAATTACATGTCTTCAACTGCAAATAAAATGTTTTGTTTTTAAATCTCCTATAAATATGTATTGTTGGTAATTTTCTTTTAATAAAAATGTATTTTTATACTTTCATAGTGTTTTATTTGGGTATTCACTATTTGTCCATAGTTGGAACACTAACAGATGCTACCAACAGGTTCAGAGTAAGCCCGAGAAAACAGCAATTAAGAGGTGGTTCCTGTTAGACATTTCCATGACGGTCGTCCTTGAGTATTGAATCTAGAGGTTAGCAGTGAATATTTCGGAGACAGTAGGAAAGCGTACTTTAGGTTCGCAGTGGATATCACAGCAGAGTGTAGTTCATCCTTCTCCTGGTCGCCTTTGGTCCTTCCGGTAGACGAAACAAGATGGCCGCCTTTATACACGACGAATACAGTGTTGGGCGGCTTCTGATTGGTCAACCTTCCATTGGTCGATTATAAAGGGAAATAAGTCATTCTGACTCGCTCACTAGTCATCGGTGTTATATACCCAAAAAACCGTAACAGTTCCATGTTCTTCAAACTCTCCAATCTCCCGATCAGAGGATTGCTGCCAGATGTAGTTTATCGTCTTACCCGGGACTGATACAGACGTAGAGATGGATATACATAGGGAACGAGAAAAGCAGTTAATGAGAAAACAGAAAGGAATTTGAAAAGGAAGAAGGAACGAACTCCATAAAAGCATAAGAGAAAATGAAAAAGAAAACCATGAATAAAGGTTGAGCCCAAAGTGCGTATTACAGATCGGAGGTAACAACGAATTTTTGGAGAAAATGGAAGCAAAAAGGAAACTAATACTGGACATCAGGAAGAGACAGTCGAGGTTTCTCGAGCATATAATGAGGAAGGAGGGCTTGGAAAATCTGATACTCACGGAACAGATAGAGGACAAGAGAGACAGAGGAAGACATTGCATAACATACTTAATGAGCTTGAGTATATGGATAGCAGAACAGGGTTTAGGAGAAATAACAAAGACGGTTTCGACCGTTGTATTCTCGGGCCTTCCCCAGGTGACTGGAGTTTCTAAACGAACCCTTTATTTCAGCCAAACGGGTACATTATTCTAGTTCCACCTGCCATGGCTCTCCGTGATATCTCAGTATCAGTTATGTCCCTTTTTAAAAGGGTTCGTATCGAAATTCCAATCACCTGAAGAGGGCCGGAGTATACAACGATCGAAACTTCGTGAACATGTCAACAAAAATGAAGACAACATCCCGAACAATGTAAATAGTGTAAATAGTTACAATATCTCATCTTAGAAATATAGACAGATATAGAAAGACAACGTTTATTCAGGAGCTACAAGGGACAGGAAGTTGTAGATTCCATGATCACGTTACGTCCTGAGAGGACACGGACAATGAAGAAGGAGGAAACTAAATGAAATGAACGGCGGAAACCAACAAGAAAAAGAAAGAAAGAAAAAGAAAAAAAGAAAAAAAAAAAAAAAAAAAAGAAAAAGAAAAAAAAAAAAGAAAAAGAAAAGAAAAAAAAAAAAAGAAAAAAAAAAAAAAAAAAAAAAAAAAAGAAAGAAAGAAAAAAGAAAGAAAGAAAAAAAAAAAAAAGAAAAAGAAAGAAAGAAAAAGAAAGAAAGAAAAAAAGAAAGAAAAAGAAAGAAAGAAAAGAAAAAAGAAAGAAAGAAAGAAAAAGAAAAAAAGAAAAGAAAGAAAAAAAGAAAAGAAAGAAAAAAAAAGAAAAAAAAGAAAGAAAGAAAGAAAGAAAAAAGAAAGAAAGAAAAAAGAAAGAAAGAAAAAAGAAAGAAAGAAAAAAAAAAAAAAAAAGAAAAAAAAAAAAAAGAAAGAAAAAAGAAAAAAAAGAAAGAAAAAAAGAAAAAGTATAGCAAGAAGGAATCAAGGAAATATGACAAAATAAATCAATATCTAATAAAAAATAAATAAAAAAGGCTGATTGAAAGGAGGAAAAAGATTTTAAAAAAATAATCACAAGAGCGAGAAAGAAATGACATAAAAAATAAATGCGTCTGCTTTTGCATCGCTTGGTAATTGCATACTTTTATATTTAGCTTTAATCATTGTTCAAACTCTTGTCCAAAACGTTCTACAGACGTAGATATGTCGCTGTGTCCATGTATGCTGAAATTTTCTTATGTCAGTTGTATTCGCGTGCATGCGTAAATGCCTTTGCTCGTGGAGCTTTTGTGCGCAAATCTGCAGACATTCACTTGCGTGTCTGTCGCCATGTTTATCTGTTCCTCAAGTGGGTGCACATTTGCGCATGCCTGCACTCTGACATGTGCACGCATCTGTGTGCGGCCGTGCATGGCTCGGTTCATTAAGTTACAATTCCCTTGAGATGTACACCACTCCCAAGCTTGCTTTCTTTTTGACCCAACACACTTTCGGCTACCAATTTCTTTGTAATTTCATTTTATTCACTCTTATCGTATTTCTTTCCTTATGTTCCAGTAATTTAAGTTTCCTTTCTTTGCATCCGACACATTCAGTTTCTTTCTGCCATATTCTCTTTTTCCACGTTCCTCTTCTCTTTGTAAATATTCTTCTTCCTTTTCTCTTTCCTCCTTTTTGCATATTCCCTTTGTCTCCTTTTCTATTTTTACTTTCTTTCTAACATATTCCCTTTCCGTCTTCCTTTTATCTTTCTTCCTTTTCTGCCATATTCTCTTTCCCACCTTCATTTTCTATATTCACTTTCTCTCTGCCACATTCTTTCCCGCCTTCGTTCTCTCTTTATTCTTCATCTTTTCTACATTCACTTTCTCTCTGCCACATTCTTTCCCGCCTTCGTTCTCTCTTTATTCTTCACCTTTTCTACATTCACTTTCTCTCTGCCACATTCTTTCCCGCCTTCGTTCTCTCTTTATTCTTCACCTTTTCTACATTCACTTTCTCTCTGCCACATTCTTTCCCGCCTTCGTTCTCTCTTTATTCTTCACCTTTTCTACATTCACTTTCTCTCTGCCACATTCTTTCCCGCCTTCGTTCTCTCTTTATTCTTCACCTTTTCTACATTCACTTTCTCTCTGCCACATTCTTTCTCTCTTTATTCTTCACCTTTTCTACATTCACTTTCTCTCTGCCACATTCTTTCCCGCCTTCGTTCTCTTTTTATTCTTCACCTTTTTTTCTTTCATTCATTCTTTTCTCTCTTGCTTTTCACATTCTTTTCCTGCCTTTCGTTCTCTCTTTATTCTTCACCTTTTCTACATTCACTTTCTCTCTGCCACATTCTTTCCCGCCTTCGTTCTCTCTTTATTCTTCACCTTTTCTACATTCACTTTCTCTCTACCACATTCTTTACCGCCTTCATTTTCTCTTTATTCTTCACCTTTTCTACATTCAGTTTCTTTCTACAATATTCTCTTTACCCACTCCCTTTCTCCTTCTTTCCGATATATTCATTTCTTTTCCCCCCATCCACTTCAATTCTGTTTTCTCTTCCCCTTTCAGACATTCTTATCTTTGTTTTTGTTTATTTCGTCTTTGTTTGTTTTTTTTTCTTCTTCATAAGTTTCAGTCTCTCGATTTCAATTTCCTCATTTTTCCTTCCCCTTTCTTTCTTCGAAAAAAAAAGCTCCCTTTTTCGTTCATTTATCTTACCTTAATGGCTTTCCGCTCTCATAACGCCCACTTCCCGACCTGCCCAATATTAATAGCGACATCTTCCTTTTACATCGTAAGCACAAGGACATCATGTTCCGTGGACATGTCATTCATGATTACCCTTTCTCTTTTCAATGGTGCACAATCACGTGTTTATGCATCGAACATTCAAAATTTTTCCTTCAATATACCGCAATCCTATTTTTTATTTATGGTGCCATACATCAGCATTCGTGGTTCCAGAAAAAAGGGTTTTTTTAGTTGAAGCTCACACCATTGATCATGGTATGAAGTGTTCTCTGTAAGGAAGTCTCGTTGTTATATTTATTTGACGAAAAAATTAAGCTCTTTGTTTTCACTTGTATTCCTTTTGCATAAATCTTTCTAAAGGTAAATTAAAATAGTGTTATTTTTATTGAAAACACACGCATAAGCTATAATATTGGGATTTCAAAACTGAGCACCCCCTCCCCTCGAGGGCAGTTGAAAAATCCAGGGTCGGGGAAGTAAAAGTGGCGTTTAAATAAAAGGGTGTGGTGGGACGCCAGGGTGACATAAGAACTACATAATTTTTCCCTTTAATTTCCGACATTTCTTATATAACAAAATCCAATCACTTACATTTAGGAACACATTTGCTATATATATGGTATAAAATGACAATTGGAAAAACTCTTAGATTTTGCCGACGCGTTTCGTCTTCCGACTTTTTCAAGGCAAAAATGAAATCGAAATGTTTTTGTTGTTATAGTTACATTAAAAATCCAAATTTAAAAAGATAGACGATTCTATCTAAGCCTTTTTTTCTGGCCAATGTAAATTGCATTTACAGTAATGGAGTTTTTTTTCCATGTCGACTATATAGTTAAATTCCCAGATCAATTCTGCGGACAAGACAGATTGGTATAATATACCAAGGTGTCTTGTCCACAGAATTGATCTATATATATATATATATATATATATATATATATATATATATATATATATATATATATATATATATATCTCCGAGCATGCAATATCGGAGGTTGGATGTGCAGACTATGTCAGGAAGAGAAACTGATAATAATGACGTATCCTGATCGAGCCAAGCTACTTAATGAGAGATCAAAAGAAACGGCAGCCTTCAAAAACGCAAATTTCTATTGATCAATGATGATCCCGGATAGAAGTATTTATCCGCCACTTCCTATTCAGCTTTTGTGTAACTATACCAGAATTGCTGATGGCTGTCGTTGACAGACCGTTGTGGAGGAGATTCTGTGTAGCTTCTGTATTCGGATACCCCCCCACTACGATTACAAAAGTCAAGGGGATGATGATGATGATGATGATGATGATTTAGCTTTTACCTATCTCTTTTTCTTTCCCGCCTTCTCCCTTCAAATTGTGGAGAGCCATGATCGCCCACATTCTGCAGGGAGACACCACAGAAGAAGAATGCCGTACACAATTTCAAAGAAAAAGGTTAGGAAGGAAACCGCCGTCATTAATGGAAAGAGCAATAACAGCTACTGGACTTGAGAAACCTATTTTCTTGAAAAACCGTTTGAAGAGAAAGATTTGATAAATAGGATGAATAATGCTTTTGATAATAGCACTGGCTGCTCGGTTAATGACTGCTAAATGCTTCCGCCTTAGTAAACAAATAATATTATCATTAGCGATGAGGAGAGTAGACACACTTTGGTCCCAGTCTGATGGTCAGAGAAAAAGAGAAGGAGAGAGAAGAAAAACGTAACTTGAGTAGCACAGGCTGCTTCGCCAATGAATGTCGAATATTTCCTTATAAGGAAACGGCTAATGTTACCATTAGAGACGAGGAGAACATGTTATACTTTGATTCCAGCCCGATGGGCAGGGAGTGAAGAAAAGCGTAACTCGTGTCGTACTGGCTTCTCGATCAATGAATGTCAAATGTTTCCTTATCAGGAAACGCATAATGTTACACTTACTATATATTCAACTGATTTTTTTTTCTTAGCCGTGTAAACGACTTTTTCTTAGTTGTCGGTTAGAAGGTGGGAACGTTTTTTTTTTAGAAAATTTTGTCCCGCTCGAGTTTATTAGCCACCGCCCATTTGTTAATTTCATATCTTTTAACACTTTTAATGATTTTCTAGCAGTGCCTTCTCTTTAGGTCATTGTTTATTGCATATTGAGAACAATTCTAAACTTCCCCTTTATTAAACTTCCCGCCTTTGTATTAGGCATCTCAGACCACTCCAGTTTATTGACTGCGGAAGCAATGAACTGAATAAACTTTATAATACTTCTAAGATTACTCTTATGTACAAAACAGGACATTGATAGTATTTCCTTTAACTTTATGATACAAGTTACAAAAAAATGAAAGCGACATATTTGTAGGATATCAATATTCGATTAATAAATCCATATTGTTATTTGTGTTAATCTATCGAGAAAAATCTCATGCGGTTTGCGCTATTTTCAGTGCTCGACAACTTTGATCAGGTTTAGTCTCCCCATCCTCTCCTTTTTTTTTTTTTTTTTTTTTTTAAAAAACATTCAGATCATTTTAACATCTCTAAACGAATTTCGTAAATTGAATATCCTCACTCCAAACCCAGGAAGGACATCTCATAGTTGACAATTAATTCCAAGCCGTCATTCAACCTATGCTAGTAGAGATCGCATTGCCAGCCGTTTGCTGGTTACAACAAAAGAATTAACGTAAGTGAGCGTGGAAAGTGAGATGAAACAGTGAACTGGACTCAAAACGCCAAAGTTCTGACAGGTGGGCTTGAAACTGTCAAAATAAATTTGACGATAAGGTATTTAAAGATCGGGTTATCTTCTTTAACTCTCTTAAAAAGATAAAGCATTTCTTTCCCTGCGACTGTTTTAGGGATAGTGCAGGACATGGGGGTAGATGTTTGAGTGACAAAACTTTTGGAGGTACTAGCAGCATGGCCTGGCGTTGCCCGTGCTTGATTCAAAAATTGTACGACTCATACAGCAATCGCTATCACTTGACTTAAAATAATTTTGCCCTTCCTTGCCTTTAAAGGAGTGCCCTTTGCCGTGCTGATGTTGCTACATGCCTTACCTCTTGCCTATCTCACACTGCGAATTTTTCTAAGCTCTATGCTAAACATTAAATCTGTTACGAAAAAGAACTAAACAAAATGAAAACAAAACGATCAGCTTTTAAAAAAGGACTCGTAACTGGAAAACCGAATGAAAAAAAGAATGTTAACAACAAATACTTTTTTTCACACCCAACCCAGTTCTGCGGAATCAGAATCAACGTTGAGTTTAAGCAAGCAACTGAGCCAATTGGAGTAAAGGGCCATGCAGATTTAAATTTTTCCCACTTGTGACGAATGCAGGTATCGATTTTTTTTGCATGCTAGTTAATATTCGTGTCAGTCAGCTGTTGGCTCTCACGCTGGCCAATAGAATCTTCCTGCCTATTCGTGGCAGCCAGCTACAGGCTCTCACATCGGCCAGTACAAAATGACCGCAAACTACATGAAAACTGCCGTAGAAGCATGAAAAATCGATGGGAGTTGGGAAATGCAAATTCAGTCTTGGCCTTCCTGCTAACTTAGAGCATGTGCATGTAAATGTTGGTGCAAATCCGTCGGAGATTGCGGCTGTGAATTCGTTACACACACACATCCTACCTTTTATAGATAGAGATTTCAATGGCAAATCGATGGAGGGTGGTTATTGAGGTGATTCAACACTTTCTATTACCATTGTTTTTAATTCCACTCACTGTGTCGCACATTTTTTTTTGTTTTTGAAAAGTTAGGAATTTTCTCTTTGTTACAGTTTGTTTTGGAAACTCCAACCCAGTGTCATAGTCGACTATTATTATTTTAGCCAGCGATCCACACCAGGTGCCTTCTTTGTGATCTTCTATTGAAGCAGACCATTAATACACCAAGAAGCTCGCTTGCGTTTTTATCAACATTTTGCCTATTCCCGTCTCGCTGAAAGAGTGTTGTTTAGAGAACTTATAAAATAGTAATTGGAGCTTAGTTGTGGTCTTGAGGAGAAATTAAAGTTACTCATAATTTAATCTAAGTTCGTGAGTTAGCCTTGCCTTTTTTCTGTCGCTAACTGAAAGTAGGCAAAAACTTGCGCATGAGAAGCACTAATATTATATAAGAATTCAGCAGTTTTTGTTTCTAACGAAATTTTCCTGTTTCTTAATAATTTACTGAGCTTTTGGAAGGCGTCTTTCGCTAGCTTCTTGTTGACAACCATGCATTCTGTCATTTTACAATTGATATTTAGTCCTTTCTTCTAGCTTTCCTTATCTACCTTCTGTAAGAAATTATGCAGTTCCCTTTCTATGTATCCTATCAATACTGTGCCTTCTGGATATCTTATGTTGTTAAAATCGTGTAGGTCTTCGAATTCTTTAAGTATCTCCTCGCTGTAAAGTTTGACTAAGTCCGGCGAGAAGACGCATCCTTGCCTTACTCATCTTTGCGTATTTACTGAATTCATTTTCTATTCATGTAATAGCTCCATGCAAAAAAAGTCATAGCTGAATCTGGATTCTCAGATTTTCTAGATACGGATCCATTGAATTAACGTACTGATTGGAAATTAACGTTTGTTCTTTGAAAATTTTAAGCCTGTATCTTTGCCCTACACACGAGAAAACAACAACAAAATAAAAACGGGTCCGATGCAAAATTGAAAATAATGGTTACTAGTAGTTGCCTGGAGCTTACCAAAGAAAGAGTTGTGGATATTTTAAATTTGGTTGAACCGAAATTCGACTGAAGGCACCTCATCCATAGAAACATTTAATCCATCAATGCCCACCGTAAAATCCGGTTATAAAACATATCCAGTCATTAATTATAAAAATTAAGATAAAATGATTACAAAAATAAACATAAATATCATGTCTTCATTGTAGGTATCTAAAAAGATCCGGTATTAATTTTGGAAATTAAAAGAAAAATCCGTTATTATTCATAAGGTTCATAAATTAGACATCGGCATGAATTATAGGTTTATAAAAAAAATCGTATTCATTATAGGTTTCTACCTATAATCTGTTAATGGCCACCGTCTCAACAATAGGATGGTTGGCATTATTGTTTTTCTTTGCGATTATTCGTGATCTACGCGTCGTATTCTTTTAGGATTTGGGCAGTCAGGGCTCTCCATAATTCCCTATTCCTTGTAGTCCTTAGCAACGTTTGTCGCCTTGCCAAGCGTATTGTCCCATGTCCAGACATCCATTCAAACAAATTCCTCAGGTAGGTGGTCTGCTGCCTACACCTGGACCTCTTATCCGGGATATAAATTGTGTGTGTAAAATTCCCCAAGTCTTCCTTTCTCATTATGTGTCGACGAAATTTCAGCTGTCATTTCTGTGTATTTTTCCTTAGGACTTCTTCGTTGCTTACGTACTTTTTTTATAGTATTCTCAGCATCCTTCTGTAGAACCACATTTATGCTGTTTCAAGGTAAATAGAAGGAATACGAAAAGGGTGAATGACGTGTATGTAGAAAAACACACACAGAGAGATCCTATCTGTATGAAATTGTGAAAGATATACTTTTGGTTTGGTTTGGTTAGATTTTACGGCATATCAACCTCAATGGGTTATTTAATGCCGACAAAATTTTTATTGTTGGTAATATTTTTCCTTCAAAAATCTATTGCAGGTAATATTTTTTCAGAAATATATTGCTGGTAATAATTTTTTTTTTACAAAGTATTTCTGGTATTAAAACCCACTTTTACACTTTCATAGTGTTGTGACACCGGGTATTAAGAGATTTTGCTTGTCCGATTTATGCTTAATGGCTGAAGTGTCTATACTTTCTATGCTCTCTGATCTATTAGTAGTTTGTTTCTTGTCATATTTTGTTCTTTGAAGGTCTTTTGTTTCTGTTTTTTGGATCTTGTTTCCTTACATTTTCCATTAGGTTCTTTTGATGATCTTTGTATGGATGATGACCGTTCCCTTGTTTGAGATGGGATAGAAATTTGTTCATTCTTCAATGATGGACTGGGTTGTGTTATTTTTTATGCACCTTTTGATTCTCTTGGAAATGTTGAGAGGATTCTATTTCTTCAAGGATTTTTGTGCTTTGGATTGTGATTTTCGAGGTTAATTGTTTATAGATTCTTTTTTGTTTGATGTTGACGGGATAGGATTTGTTTTGTCTATGGGAGTTTAGTTTATGTGTGATATTCTACAATCAGAATTTGAAATTTTTCCCGCGCGTGTCCTGACGTCACCGACGAATAGCGTTTTCAAGTTAGTCGCCGCCTGATTTTCAAACTAGAAGGTTGACTCATTTATTCCGTGCCCCTAACCCATACGCGGGCCGGAATATCTTAACTAACCAAAACTTCAACATGTCGTGTGATTACAACTTCTCTTCAAACAACTTGTTTGAACGTTCTTCCGTTTTTCTACCAGAATCTACGACACGGTCGTCACCACACTTTTCCAAGACCAAATTCCTCGTCTTGATGCGAACAACTTTCGAACTTCTATTTTCTACCAGAGTCTACGTCACTGTCGTCATCATACTTTTCCAAGACCAATTTCTCGTCTTGATGCGAACAACTCAGAATTTCCTTCACTGAAGATTGATGAACTTTTCATACACCTCTTTTGAATTCTAACCTTTACGAACCAGTTTAAAAAAAAAGATAACATTACACACACATTATTAAACCTCGCAGTGAGTATTTTTCCTTGTTGTGTATGCTTACATCTTTTGTACAAGAAGACTACATTCCAGAACTTTCATTCTGAAGAAACTTTTCCCGCCTCAGCCATCTTGGTTTTTTCTGTTTTGGCGCGGAACTTTAACATTTTATTAGTCTCTACATATTACTAACAGCCTACAGGCTAAAAACAGACCTTCCCTTTTCTGATAGTCTTCACTGTTGAGACAAGATTATTTGTTATTAAAATAAAATTTCTTATTTGTTTTACACCAGACTCATTTTGTCGTTTAATTCTGGCTATCTATATTTTACTATTTTGTGCATGTGTTAAATGACCCTTTTTCCTCACTAAAGATCACTCATTTAATATTTTTACTTTGTTTGTGGATTCAGTAGTCACGTGTAGTGTCTGGCACAAGGCCACCTTTTAATAAACCAGCACTGCATGCTACCGGGCCCGCAACAATATACTATCTTTTAGTAGTTCTATTAGACTTCTTAATTCATTTAGAGTTGTAAGATCTTGGCTTCTTTTTGCATTGTTCTCTTCGATGTCATTTTGCTGATTTGATATTTTAGTGATATTTGCATATGGCGTTGGAAGTGAATAAGATTCGACCTTTTTTCTCGCTTTTTGGAACGAGATGTTTTGAGTACATTTTATTCTTATTATTACATTTTCCTTTTTCCAGATGTTACACTCTTTAAGGTCTGCTGAGTGTTTTTATTTTCTTTACAGTTTGGACATAAAAGAGGCTTTCACAGAGTGACTCTTCATGATCCGACTCAAGTTCTACACATCTTCGACAGACTGATAACTGATGCTCTCATGCAAAGATTTTGTAGATGACCAAATTTCTGACATCTACGGAGATTAGGAATATATTGTTCTACCTTGACTATTGAGTATCCTATCTTTTTAGGTAGAGTAAGTTTGTTGAATTTCAAAATATATGTGTTTCTGTTTTTTGATATTCATTTTTTTTATTTGAATTATTTTGACGTCTGGTACTCCTTGCTTTTTAAGGGTGTCGTCATTTTTAATTTCCTCTGGTGAGCAGAATGACAGCTCTGAGCATTTTATTACTCGCTTAGATAAATTAAGGAATTGGTGGGAGTAAGTCTTTGCTTTATTGTTGTCTATTTGCTTGATTTTTAGTAAATTTTCTGCGTCTTTTTCCGTTTTTACTTGAATGAAACGCATATTATTATTATTATTATTTTACAGATTTTGGTTCAATCATGGCCGATATAACCCTTTGCAACATAAAAGAAGACACTTGATATTTCGCCATCTAGCGATTCTATAACTATGAAAGTTGGAAATTGTTTTTTCTGATATTTCGTTTTCCCTTTTTGTTTCAGAAGTCTCGTGTTGTCTCTTGGTTCGTTTATAAGAGATAGCCATATAATTTTGGTTTTTGTATTCACCGTCTGTGCTCCCTACCCACCTCAGAGTTCCTTCTTAAGGGACGCTATCATAAACCCATTCGCTCTGATCCTATAGGGCTATGCAGACGGTATAGTTGTGATGAAAGTGAATACGAGCACCCGCATTCCCGCCCACCAACTTTCTATCCAAGTATAGTATGGTAGAAGGATTCATAGCCATATCGGAGCCATTATCTATCATCCTATGTGACTAGCCGATTAGAATGGACTGTGCTATTCCATCCGCCAGCGTATCTCCGGTAGGGACCGAAGTGACGTGTTATGGTCATTTAATACCGGATCAGGAGTCACTCAGCCACCAGACATCACAGGTCGTCACCCATGGCAAACATGTGGCCCCAATGAGGAGAATTTGTAGTTTTTAAGAATCGGTTTTTGTGAATGTGTATTTTATATATTGCAATTTGTATTATATAAAAAAAAAATCTTTACACTTTCTTAGTATTCACACACCAGTTTGGGGGAGGGGAAAACTATTTACCCATAAATGGGACCCTAACAGGTGCTACCACTTCGGGTCAGGGTGGACCTGGGGACAACAGTAATTAAGAGGTGGCTCCACACTCCTCAAAATCTCCCGATCAGAGGCCTTGGTGCTGGATGCAGTTTATCGTCATACCCAGGATGGTTTTTGGTTTGGATGGATTATTAGTTCTGTCTATGTGTAGCTAAGAAAGCCTAAAACATTGCATGCTGTGTTTTTTTTTTGTTCAATGAAACATTAGGTTTTATTGTGACCAAAAACAGCCTCCAGAGGGGAAACGAGACACGTCCCATCTCTAAGGTGATTAAAAAGAAAAAAATTCGCACAGTTTTATTTATACATTGCTTTGACAACGCCATCTACTGATCGTTGGCAGATACTCTTTGATAAGTAAGTAGGGTAATCCCTCAGGTTAAAATGCACGGATATTATTTGAAGCTGAGACAAAGAGTATTTACAGATAGTGGTCTTCTGTCAAGCATACAAATATTGGATCAGATATGACATTTAACTCAACTCCTGTCATCTTGCATGCGACCCTTGGATGATTTTAAAAATCTTGTCCATTTCGTCGAACATCAGCAGAATGCAGAAACATTGCCTTTTAATGTAATATGGAGGTAAACTTAAGTGAAGAATGTGCAGAGGAAAGGGAGATTTAAATTTGATATTGACTCGACGTCGAGATATGACAGTGATAAAAATATTAATATTCAGGCAAAAGGATGAATTGTGTTGCCCATTTCAAGGTTTTAAGGAAGAGCTACAACCCCGGCTTATTTTTCCCCATCTCTGCTAATTCATTTTTCAGTTTGTTGGTTTGAAGAACACACGACCTCCAGCCATCTGGGAACGCCTACGATTATTGAGTGATTGGCAGTTTGCTTTTACAGCCTGCACTGACCTTAATAGGTTCATTGATTCCATGCGAACAAGGACATAAAGCAAACCCTGAAAGGAGAGAGAGAAGGAGAGGAGGAGCAATGGAGAAAATAGAAGTGCCAATGAAGAAGGAGGAAGGAAGGACAGAAAAGAGTAAAATGAGAGAAGAGGAGGAGAAGACGATGAAGACGAGGAGAGGGAGAATGAAGGATAGATAGAATAGGAGATGAAACGGAGTGAGACAAGATGGAACGGGGGAGGGGAGAGAACCAGCAAGAACAGGAGAGAGAGAGAAAGAGAGAAAAAAGATGTAAGTGTGGAAGGAGAGAGAGAGAAGATGAAGGGGGTGAGAGAGAGAGAAGATGAAGGGGGTGAGAGAGAGAGAAGATGAAGGGGGTGAGAGAGAGATGTAACTGAGAGAGTGAAAAAGAAAGTAGAGGCCAACGAAGAAGAAAAAGAAGACAAAGAGCAGGAAAAAAATAAAAGACGAGAGAAATGTAGCAACAAAAGAAAGAAAGAATAAAACAAAACGGAGAAGAAAAAACGAATAAAGAAGACCAGAAAGTAGAAAAGAAAGACTGAAAAGAGAAGGAGTAAGAAAATAAGAGTAGAAAGGAGAGAAGTTAGAAAACAAAGAGAAAAGAGAGAGAGAGAGAGAGAGAGAAGGCGGAAATGTTACGCGCTTTATAACATGAAACTATTGATATATGCACAAGTTTATATACGAGGGTCATTCAGAAGTGATGGACGCTTTTCATGGAATAAATTTCAAAGTAAAAGACCTTAAGACCTATAAATATGAATGCATAATCTGACGATTTCAAATGCATTCTTCAATCTTTCTTTTCAAAAGAAGGTATTTCACCTTTAAATAAGGTCATGTCTACTCGTCTTAGCCGAATTCTTATCCAGATGTGTTGTCTCTGAAGTATATCTACCCAGGTGGTATCTATGTTTTCAAGAAAGCTATACAGGACGAAAGTAAAATACAAGACTGGCTGAAATTTTATAAAATATTTATTGTATAAAATAGAAACAAATTAAAGTTTGGATGTGAAAAAACGAACACCTTTCGTTAACAGCCCGAGACCGAGTGTTTATATTTCTGAAAAGCCGAATGGAGAGGATCACTTTTCAGAAGGTTTCGATGACTGTCGGCATTATGTGGAGAAAGAGAGTTTCTGTTTGCAAATATATCGGTTTTTAAAGGCACCCACATCTTTTCTACAACTGTTGGCGAATAGGTTGTTTTTCTTATGCACGTCGGCGGTCACCAAAAATGTAGTGGGAAATTCACTCACATCATAGCAGCAGTTATTAGCTTCGTGCATACTTGAGAGAAAATAAAACGTGCAGAAATAACAAAACAAAAAAACATGGTAAATTTTATGTTACTTTCATACAATTTATTTATACTTTTCTTGTGTCTATGTTTTAGGTTACACTTGTTTTATGGTAACTGTAATAAAAGGGAAAATTTACTCCGTCGTATAAGTAGCCATATAACAGAAGTTGGATACGTGTCGTCCGTTCCCAGGTTCGTGGTGAAGAGATTGAATTTCGACGTTTTTGTTGTATGCTAAGAGTATTTTTATTAATTTAATTCTTATTTATTTTTATACAACGTTTTTGTTATTGTTTTATTTTAGCCATAACTAGCAGTAGAGCCCGGCGTTGCCCGGGGATGTAACAGTAAGAGATAGATCAAGTATCGACCATCACAAAGACCGAAGAATAAAATTGACAAATATTATTGTTTAAGGTTGAGGGACACGCATGTCTTAATTACTTTTTTTTTTACGAATTGGTCAAACCCAAACTCAAACAAAAACATTGTTTTCAATCGTTATGAGTCTACCGATTGAATAGAATTTTATTATAAACAATTGTCTTGTAAATGGAATTTTTAAAGCATTCTGAATGTAAAAATAAAGAAAAATGTGTGCAAGACAATAAGAAACACTACCAGTCCCCCAAAAAGTGAAGTTTTGTTGAAATCGGTTGAAAAATGTAGGAAATCCGATCCCATATATAAACGAACAAACACACACACACCCTGGGTTTTATAATAAGTATAACTCGATATGAGTTGTCCCCCTTTCATTCTCGTGATGCCTCTTAATCGTGTTTTCAAATTGATTTCGTGCAAAAACAATTGTGTTTTTCCAATTTTTGGCGCTGTTAGAACCACCGCAAGGTAATTTTACGTAGTCCTGTGATGTTTTGTTGAAATCGGTTGAAAAATGTAGGAAATCCGATCCAATATATAAACGTACAGACACACACACACACACACACACAACCTGGGTTTTATAATAAGTATGATTTTCATTATTATTATTATTTTTATAATAATAATAATATCATCCCTACACAGCCAATAATCTGTATCACAACCGAAACCCACTATACCTCTTACTTATCATCACCAGTAGAGAACCGTTGTTCTCTGAATACCTTCGTAAGTCCCCTGAAAGCTCTGGAACAACGAATATCAACGACATTTTAATGGAGTCTGTCTTCTGAAAACCTATTTTGTACAGACCTTTAAATAGCAAAGAGAATTTACTAAACTTCAGGCACAACCATAGCTCACCATAAGGTTTTCGCATAGTTTTGCAAAAGTGTTTTTTCTTTCAGCTGTAATAAGAACAACAACCTGTTTGAGCTTAGAAATTCACAGTAGAAGCTGGGCTGTCACTGCAGGGTTGTCACTAAGGTCTCTTGAATTGACTCTACTGACCCGTCTTTGACAGCTGATTCCTTCATACGTGCGTCCAGAGAGGCAGCCAATGTGAAAGAGGATTATGGGTAGGAAAAGAAAATTGACACTATATTTTTTCCTTCCAAACACTAAGGCTTTAACAAACCCCTTGGATATTCTGACTAATACTTTTAACATTAAATTAGAACAGACATTACTTTTGGACGAAACCTCATATACTATAGAAAATGGTTGCAATATTTAAGTAATTTTGTAGTTGCATTGCTTACATATGTATGTGTAATCAGAAATTGTCTTTTGAATATTTAACATTAAAAATTAAAAAAAAAACGATTATAAATAAAAAAGCATTCCATCAGCGAACTGTTTTCACACATGTCGAGTAATGCCTGCCGTAATTATAAATTAATATTTCATTAATAAGTACAAGAGATCAGGCTGCTTGACCGATCTATACGTCACTTTGTGGTTCACATAAAAGAAATGAGGTTATATCAATTAGTATTAATATCATTAAACGGAAACCAACAAAAGAATTAGAAATGACTATCAGACCAACTGATAAAAGTGAGTATAAGGGGACACAACTCCTTTGCCAAAAAAAAGGTACGACACATCTCAAACACATAGATAACATTGATAATGACTGTTAAAACTTTATATTTTTATTACTTTATAGGTGTTTTCAATGTAGTTTCAACGTTTTGCCCAAGTGATTATCCTCTCTTCTGTCATCGATTGTGGCATGCTTACTTTAAGCAAATTTAGCCATGTTTTATCTAGTTTAATACTTATTTACCGAAGGACGGAAACTGCAAAAGGTCCAATTCTAGAGAATAAAATTAAAGTGTTTGCATGTATTGATGTAAACATTATTTTATATTTCAACGGCGTTTTTTTTTCTCTCTTTGCCGTATTGTGTGTGTCTTTGTAGGTGAGAGCAAAGGAAAAAAACGTTTTTAAAAATAAAGGAGAAAGTAGTTACTGATTGTGGCGATTGTAAAAATGTGTTTGTAACGATTTATAAGAAGCGATCTTAGCTAGATGTAAATAGGGGATAGATGAATAGATTCGGCTAAATATTGACGCATTACTCAACGCTAATAGGCAAACGTGTCCCATGTTATCATAATAATGGATATAAGTAGTTAGATCAGTTTGCTAAGAGACTGCTTTTACTTTTGCTTTTTTTACTTATTGTGTTATTTGTGGAGGGAGGCAGGATATTTTTAATATTAACTGATTAAAAGGAAATATATATTTCTCATAATAAAAATGAAAATTTTAGATTTGCACATGCAGAAACATAAATAATGCAATTACAAAATTACATAAATATTAGAACCGTTTTTACAGACACAGGTAGACAGAGAGAAAAGCGCAGACAGACAGAAAGATAGAAACGTGCAGACAGACAGACAGACAGACAGGCCTAGACAGACAGACAGACAGGCCTAGACAGACAGACAGACAGGCCTAGACAGAAAGGCCTAGACAGACAGACAGACAGACAGACAGAAAGGCCTAGACAGACAGACAGACCTAGACAGACAGACAGTAATGTACAAATAAGCAGAAATGTACAGAAATATGTGAGAATATAGAAGGATCTATTGGAATTAATATAGATTTTGAATCCTAGAATTGAAAAAAACAAAAAAAAAAAAAACAAAACAAAACAAGATCAAGTCATGCATCGAGAGGAAGGCAAGAGAAAAAAGAAAACTATCTAAAATTCTGAAACAAAACCTCTAGCCACGTAAAATTCCATACTTTGTACCAATTCCAACTTTTGTTATTAGCGCGACAAGGGTAAGGACACTTGCCCCAATTTCACAACAATCTCAGCTGATTGCAAATATCAATAGCTAATCCCAAAATTGAATTAAATACAATATTTAGTGAAGGCCAAGCCTCTTTGACATTTGAAGGCTTTAATGCCAAACAAATCCCCAGAAATTGCTTCTGTTTTACGACTATTGTTTTTTTTTTTTGGGGGGGGTGTTTTTTACATCAAACTTCATGACAATTCACAATTACAAGCCAAGGGATATTATCCCAACATTCTAAGTTCAAACACAAAGATAATGGATTGGGTTCTTTTTTTTTTTTTTCTGTTAAGCGAGATCATGAAATAGAAGTTGAAAAATATATTTAATAAGATAAAATAGTTGGTCTCTCTAAAAGCGGCAGTTATTTTTGTTTGGGTGAAACGCGAGCCGAAATTTGGGCCGTAAAGTACTGTGTTACTTAGAACGACTTACAAAAAGCAAGGTTATTAGATAGAGAAATACAAATACAGATACATACAGAGAGAGAGAGAGAGAGATGATATGGGAAGAGAGAGAGAGATGATATGGGAAGAGAGAGAGAGAGATGATATGGGAAGAGAGAGAGAGAGATGATATGGGAAGAGAGAGAGAGAGATGATATGGGAAGACAGAGACAATGATGATATGGGAAGACAGAGATAGATGGGAATTAAGACAGAGAGAGGAATAGAGAAAGTGGAATAGTGACAGAGAACAGGCCGGGTCATAGAGAAAGGATAGGTAGATATAGGCCAAGAGAGAGAGAGATTTCCATCTCTCTCTCTCATCTATATATATGTGAGAGAGAGAGAGAGAGAGAGAGAGAGAGAGAGAGAGAGAGAGAGAGAGACGGGTACTAGCCGTGATAAAGAGAATGACGAGAATTGGCCAGAACAGCGAGAAAAATTGCAATAGGCCAGGACTGATAAAGAAATTATCGATAGATAATTAACAGGCAGTGAGAGATGTAGATTATTTTAGCCCTCAAGGACACATGGCCCAGTAGATAAAAGCGTTGAAGTAATCCAATGACTTGGCCAAAGATTTGTGAGTTCAATACCTAGCTACAGCAGAGGTGAACACAAACTGGAAGAGTTGAGTTAAGGGGAAATAACTGATAGTGAGATATGCGGAAGAGGCATGGCTCGTGGAACTAGAAATTTGGCCGAAATAAAGGGTTTGGTTCGAAATTCAAATCACCTGTAGAACGCCGGACCTTACAACGAGCGAAGCGTCGTGAATATGGCAACAAAGATGAGGACTAATGTAAATAATGTAAATGATTCAGTTTTTCTGAGCAAATTGTGAAATGAGAGTTGTCCTGAACGGCCACTCTTCTAGATCCTTCTGAACTAATGCAGGTGTCCCCCAGGCCTTTATCCCACTTTTGAGTTCTCATTAACGACCTTCCTGGTGATATCAGCTCTCAACTTTACTGATGATACAATCATTTACTCCTGTCTCGATACTATATCTGATCAAATCGGTCAAATTAGCGGCTGATCTCAAAGGATCTACAGTCTGTTGTTAACTGGTGCAAAGAATGGCTTGTTAATTTTAATGCCTCTAAAATTAAACTGCTATCTCTTAATCATCTACTTTCTTTGTGATTGTTTCTCCCTTTGCCTCTTCGTCTTCCTCTCTCACTCTTTTCAAAGATGAGGACCAAGGTGGATGCATCTCTTCCATTTCCACCCCTTCGCATTACGGCTGTTCTTGATGGAGGTTTCCTGTCGCTCCTCATGTAGTTCCTCCTGTTGCGGTCTCTGCTGGCTCTCCTGTTCCAGTTGGGGCTCATTCTTTGGAGAGATGACCCGCGGCTCCACAAGCCCAGCAGAGAGGTCGTCGCCCTTCTACAACTACATATATGTGACGACCCTCACACACATCAACATATTCGGAATTTCCATGAAATTTTTCCAGGTGACAGTTACCCAGATCTCTATGTCTCCCGTTGCTATCCCCGTTTTGCATTTGACAGATGAGACCTCAGACAGCTCGAAAAACAGGGCAAAGGAACATCCCAAGTTGTCCTCTGATATGTAGAGAGGAACTCCATGTAGAGTAACTTTAGTCTTTCTTCTTCCTAAATATTTGGTCTGGAGCTTTACTGTTTTGGTTAAGAATATGCTCCCGCCAGGTCTTTTGCTGTGTTTCCTGTGGCTAGCAGCAGGATGTCCCCCATATCATTCCTTCTTCTTGCCAATACTTTCGCTACAATTTTTAGGCTTTTTAGGGCCTCCTTCATAATTTCCCTGTTAACGCTAATTAGCTTGCATGACTTAATGTCTGTTGTTAATAGAGAAATAGTTCGAGTGTACACCGTTTCCATAAGAGTAACTACTCATTTCCGTCAATGAAATTTCCATATTTATCTTTCAGTCCTTTTTAATAATCGGGTCCTTTTGGTTGGGGCCTCTCCTTTGTCTACGTCGAAGGAATTGCTTTAGTGAGTGTAGCATCAGGAGTTCGGGACCCCGCCATAATGTTGGCGTTCCGACGACATCGGTTGGAAACAGTTAAAAACAAACACAAATTTACGAAAAGAAGTCGCTGAATACAATGTACAAACAATGGACACAAATACAACAATCAAAGGCGTAACAAAACTCACACTTACTTTAACAAAATGAAGGAAAGAAAAAGAAAGGAAAAAGAAACATGGCCGTCCTAACACTTTAATTTAAGAAAGCAACGAGAATTGGCGAGAGTGGTTGGGCGTATGTTTAAGAGTGATTGTGTTAAACTTTCAAGCAAGTAAGTACGTACGATTTTCATTGGACGTTCCACGAAAAAAAAAAAAAAACATTTTGACAAGTTTTACTATGTTAAAAAAAAAAGAAGTCAATAAAACCATATATTGTGTGTCCAGGATTACTATCTTCATGTGAAATACAAGAATTCAGAAAGCTAGTAAATATTTTCTATTTGGCACAATTCAACCCTCTTTCCGTCTTTTTTGTAGTTCTGTGTCAGTATAAACATTTCTTTAAAAACAACTCTTGGCAGCAATATAACCGGCTGTTTGTGTGCGCGTGCATAGAGGTTTAAGAGCATTTAAAATGGAATCAGCGAAACGAATTCAAATCTCAGATGAGGCATTTTGCATTCACTTCGCCCTAACAACTTTGGGGAAAGACTGAATCCCTCTCCCCGACCCATTGGCTCAGGTTAGGAACGAGTTCTTACTAATGAAACCTTTAAAACCTAGTACAGCCGGTCACATGTTACCTGAAGAGAAAATAGGTATAATCAAGTAGCGTCAATTGCTGTGAGATATCTTCTGACTGGCGATCATGATTTTTTTTTGTTTTGATCGATAAAGAGACTTGAGACAACAAAAATATGGTTCTACAGAAGGATAGTAAGAATATCATGGACTGAACATGTGAGCAATTACGAAGTTTTTTTTGGGGGGGGGAATGGAAAGGGCACATACTTAGAAAGAGAGTTGAAATTTCTATGTCACATAATGAAGAAAGAGGGCTTAAACAATTTAACATTGACATGACATTTTGGAGCTAAGAGGGAGGGAAGTAACGAATAACACACATAATGAGTTTGTGCATATAGTTGGCAGAACTGCGATTAGAGGAGATAGTAAAAAATAAACATTACTAAGAGCTATAAAATTCAGGAAGCCGTGGAGAACTGTGATAGCACACGTCCTGAAGACTAAATAACCGTGTGGTCTGAACAAGTATCAGCTCGTCAGACAATCGACAGGGGTGAGAGAAACAGTTAGAGGGTGCGGAAAAGTCATTGGAGGAGGAGATATTTTCAAAAGTCATGTCTGTGTTGTCCACCCAGAAGGCATATTGCCAAAATTTCATTAAATCGCCATATTTTTTTTTTAATTTTTCAAAACGGCATCGGACTCAACTGACTCACGGAAGGCAAATATTCTACCGAGAAAAGATGCTAAATTGGCCACGCGAAATTAAGTTAGAATTCTTCTCGTGTTGCAATTTCTAAATTTGAGAAACTTTATTTGAATGCTCGGAATATACTTTTAGCATTGTAGATAACGTCAATTAGATAACTCCAATAATATAGACTGTTATTATATTTAAATGAAGCTTACCATGTTTTTAAAATATTACGATAATATACCTCCAAATGAAACCTTAACAAATCATTAAACGTTTCTGTTTGTATATAGTTCCTTCCTTCGTGGTATGATGATCGCGGCAACGCATGAAACAGTTATGAAGGAGCAAGAGATCAAACATATATATATATATATATATATATATATATATAAGGCGGGATGTGTGTGTGTGTGTGTAACGAATGCACGGCCGCAATTTTCGACGGATTTGCACCAAAATCTACATGCACAAAGTTAGCGGGAAGACCAAGACCGACTTTGCATTTCCCAACTTCCATCGATAGTGGAAATAATCGATTTTTTCATGCTTCTGCGGCACTTTTCATGTAGTTTGCGGCCATTTTGTACTGGCCAGAGTGAGAGCCTATAGCTGGCTGCCACGAATAGGCAGGAAGATTCTATTGGTCAGCGTGAGAGCCAACAGCTGACTCACACGAATATTAACTAGCATGCAAAAAAAATCGATAGCTGCATTCGTCACAAGTGGGAAAAATTTAAATTTGTATGGCACTTTACTCTAATTGGCTCAGTTGCTTGCTTAAACTGAACGTTGATTCTGATTCCGCAGAACTGGGTTAAGTGTGAAAAAGTATTTGTTGTTAACATTCTTTTTTCATTCAGTTTTTCTAGTTACGAGTCCTTTTTTAAAGCTGATCGTTTTGTGTTCATTTTGTTTAGTTCTTTTTTCGTAACAGATTTAATGTTTAGTATAGACCTTAGAAAAATTTCGCAGTGTGAGATAGGCAAGAAGTAAGGCATATAGCAACATCAGCACGGCAAAGGGCACTCCTTTAAAGGCAAGGAAGGGCAAAAATATTTTAAGTCAAGTGATAGCGATTGCTGTATAATCGTACGATTATTGAATCAAGCACGGGCAACGCTGCTAGTATATATATATATATATATATATATATATATGTATGTATGTATGTATGTATGTATGTAGGTGGAATAATTGGCCATAGTTAAGTGTAATTGGCAAAATTCTCAACAAGCGGAATTGACAAAGTTCTCAAACAATAAGAAGAGGAAGAAAAAGGACAGGTCAAAATAATAAGCAAAGCAAAGTCGTAATAAGGCAAGTCGACAGTAATAGAACAAAAAAATTCACAAAGTAAAAATTGTTTCCACACGTAAAGACGATAGAGTCAAATGCAGGAGATGAGGCCGAGAATTGTCCATTTTTATTGGTTCTAAAGAAATCCCGGCATGCATCTGTAGTATTTGCCTATAAACTTGGGGAAGAGATTTTCTTAATAGTTCATCGTATAGATTGGAATATATATATATATATATATATATATATATATATAGGTTTAGAATGCATTTGAATATATATATATATAAATATACTTATAGGTTTAGAATGCATTTGAATATATATATATATAAAAATAAATATACTTATAGGTTTAGAATGCATTTGAATATATATATATATAAATATATTTATAGGTTTAGGAATGCATTTGAATATATATATATAAATATACTTTTATAGGTTTAGAATGCATTTGAATATATATATATATATATATATATATGTTTAGAATATTTGAATATATATATATATATTTTAGAATGCATTTGAATATATATATATATATGTTTAGAATGCATTTGAATATATATATATGTTTAGAATGCATTTGAAATATATATATATATATATATGTTTAGAATGCATTTGAATATATATATATATATGTTTAGAATGCATTTGAATATATATATATATATGTATATGTTTAGAATGCATTTGAATATATATATATATATATATATATATATATGTGTGTGTGTGTGTGTTTAGAATGTATTTGAATATATGTATATGTTTAGAATGCATTTGAATATATATATGTTTAGATTGCATTTTTTTTTAATGAAAACTCTTTCTTGAATCATATTTTAGCTTTAATTTCAAGCTAAGAGATTAAATTTAAAATTTATGATGATGAAAATACTTTGCTGGGTTTCTAAAAGAATTTAAATTGATTGCAACTAGTTTTTTTTTTTTTTAATTATCAGTAAAATTGCTAGAATTGTCAATATGGATAAATCTATCAGCACAACGTAAATTTATTTATTAGAAAACCTTTCAAAAATAAAATATACTTAATTGAAACTTTATTTGCGGAATATTAGCAGATTTAAAGTTTAATTAATCTGTTTTAAAACAAATAGGAGGAGGGCTTCTTTTTTTTTTTAAGAAATGTTGCTAACTCAACAGACTTACGTTTTGGAATTTTTTCTATGGGTGGCATACCTGTAACAATTACAATACAAACATAACGTGAACACTTATTTATATATATATATATATATATACACTATGGAACCACGTTTTTCGAACGTCTCAAATGTCCAACAAATCGGTTTTTGAACAGAAAATTCGAGATGAAAATGCCTCGGTTATGGAACAAAATTTCGGTTCTTGAACAACATAGCCGAACAGAGTTAACACGAACGGAATCATTTCTGAGTCGACCGCCATGTTGTATACATTCGTGTGTTGTGCCGTACTTTTCTTTTCTCAATTTTATTGTTCTGTGTTTTTTTTTCTTTACATTTATACCTATTGGAAATATAGTTTCGCTTTACGAACATTTAGGGTTACGAACGGCCTTCAGGAACGAATTAAATTCGTGAACTGAGGTTCCACTGTGTGTGTGTGTGTGTGGGCGCGCGCGTGTATATATTTTACACATACACTCACGAAATGCACGTATGTTGCATTTGTGTAAACACACGCACTTTATATATATATATATATATATATATATATATATATATATGTGTGTGTGTGTGTGTATGTATATAAAGTGCGTGTGTGTATGTATGTAGACAGAATGGGCTAAAAACATTTTTATTACTTTTCTTCCTTTTTAATTTTCCTTTTAAATTTGAAATGATATTAAACAGCAACGCGACAGTTTATCAATTATCTGCACCACACCTATATATATATATATATATATATATATATATATATATATATATGCATCATTGGGGGCCATTTGAGGTAAAGGGTTACATTAAGAAGCAGTTTATACGAATACGAGGTGGGAAGATAACGGTTAACCATAGACTTGAACAGGTTAAGATTGTAGTGATCGGGGAAACATCCTTCTGGGAGTCGGTTCCACAGAGCAGCGGTTCGTGGGAAGAAGCTGTTCGAGTGGAATTCTAAAGGAATACGGAGAGCATGTAGTTGGTTTGCTACTATGTAAATAGCATGACGGGTCCTAGCCTTGAAGACTGGCGTAACCAAGAAATTTATTTCGCCCAATCACTTTCTATGGAAGTATCGATAATGACTAGTGAGTGGCTTGCCACAACCCGCCTATTGTACTGCGAGTTTTTTCTCTACATTTGTACCTATTAGAAAAATAGTTTGTTAATAGAAAATAATGTCACCCACGAGGACTCTATTAAAACTGGAAAATGAGGACTGGGAAACTTCCGCACAAATATGACAACATTACTCCATTGCAGGCCTGATCTGGTTCTTGTAAAGTTAGAGGATAGCATGACGAGTCAGGTACGTACTGGAGCTGTACACAGGTCTGACCATTTTTCCTGAATCTCTAATGATGAATCGTATGTA